TTTTGTGTGTTGCCTTCAGAACTGAGTGTAAGGAAGAATTGTACATGAATTTGTCAAATTAATCTTTTTCTTTACAATGTTGACCATTCTGCTGATTACCATTCATCGTTTTTATTACTATTTTTATAAATTTGATTTAATCGCCTATGGAAGCTTGCTTTTAGCCCTTTTTAAGATGTTTTCCTTCCAGTCTGTTTAACAATGTATTCCTCAGGCTGTTTGTGCCTGCTTCTTGCCTGAACAACATACACTTTTAATCTGAAACGTTAGTTTGTAAGGTAATTGCTTGGAAATTGTTACATCTATTGGGTGTGAAAGAGAGATTTGTTTTTATTTTGCGTACGTATTGCCAAGTGATCTGTTGTAGAAACAACATTTTAATTGCATTAATTTTAAACCTGGGTTTGTAGTTGACCTGTAACTTGAGCAGGGGTGATGGCTGAGGGGCTTAACAGTGGCAGTTTGACGACAAGCTAGGTGACTGAGGGGAGCAACTGCAGGTATGGTGATAGAGAAACGTCTTCACTTTTGATCTGAAGATGGACAAGGAGGGGGCAAGGAGGAGAAATTGAGACATAGAGTTTAAGAGTCTCAGGGCATAGTGGCTGAAAGCATAGCCGCCCATGGTGGAGGGTACAAGGGACGTTCACTAGGCTGGAGCCAGCTGAGCAAAGTGGGTGGGTGGAGGAGTGGGGTGCAAGCAGGTTGGAGAGGTAGGGTGGTGCCAGGACATGAAGTGATTTGTACGTGGGTGGAAGGATCTTGAAATTCATCCATTCTGCAATAGGACATCAATACAACCTGGCAAGGACTATGATGATGGGGGTGTACAGTTTAGTATGGGTGAGGATATGGTTAGCAGAGATTTGAATTTTATGAATAGTGAAACTGGGGAGACTGGCGAAGAGGGCATTGGAAACATTGAGGTGGGAGGTGACGAATGGGTGGATAACGGTTTCAGCTGCATTAGGTGTGAGGTATGGTCGGAGGTGGACGTTGTGGAGGAGATGGAGGAAAGCAGTACTGGTCAAGATAGGATAACATTATGAAGCCCACAATCATTTCAAATATAATAATGGGTTCATGGCTGAAGCTGCTATGACTTTTTCAGCATGTTTTGTCTCAGTAAGAAGGCAAAAGCTATCTGTCATATTGTGATTTAAAAAAAGTTACTGTCAATTTTGTCCAATTACACTTTTTTTTAAAAAAAGGCCATAATCTATACCATAAATTGACTTTTGCTGAGTGTCTCATTTAGAGCAACGGTAAATATAGGTATATCCTTTAAGGTCCAAGCGGTACTGGATTCTTATGAGGTTCTGTTAAGTGCAGGCACTCTGACTCAAAATAAGTTAAGTGAAGCAAGTGATGTGATCTGGAGAGAAACTAGTGCAGGTATTAAAAGGGTAAGTTAGGGTTAGGTAATTAGATAACCCATTATTGTAGGGCATTCATTTTGAAATTAATTGTGTGGATGAAGATTAGGGAAATGAAGACACTGAGGAAACTGATACTCTAAGCAAGTTAATAGAGGCACCTGATGAGCTATGATCTGAGACTGAAATGCAGCAGGATATAAACCATTTGTAACAGAAGAAGCTGAGTAAGATAATGTATGGTGAACAGGGTTTTGCAGAAGTGACATTAATGACACTGTATAATGATTCCTGTGTCAAAGGTTAGGGATATGGAACCAAGGATTAATGAACTCTGATTTAGGGGCACGGAAAGAATGCCCAAGATAATTGATTTCAATGAATGTTAATAGTGTCCGCAGGAGCAAATTGAATTTGTAAATAACCAAGGAACATTTTCAGATAGACTTTTTCTATCATCTCTGGGCTTCTCATTTTAAAAATGTTGATTATTTTCTTCCACAACAACCTTTATCATTACCTTGAGATCTGACTTCAGTTTTACTGTTAGTTGACTGCTGTTTCCAGAAGTTTAGAGTCAAATCCACTAACCAATTAATGGACTTTTCAGTGGGAATGGAATATTCAATGAAAACTAGTGGCATTAATTGAATTCCAGAAGAGCTAATAATTATTCTGTCCACATTTCAAACAATCAATATTTGCCTTAAATACCCTTGAATCTCAATTGTTCACAGCACACCACAGTTTCCACATTTAAATTCCTAATTTGAGAGCATTTAAGCACATAATTTCTATTTTGTTTTTCTCTGAAATGTTGGTGATTTTTATTATTTGCCTTGGGTGTTTTTCGCAGTGTCATCGTGTAAAAATATTGTGAGGGTCTAAATTTAAAATTCCCAGTGTCTATTTGGGTGCTTTATCTTCACTGTGTCTTTATATTTGATTTACTTTCATCCACAAGATTTTTTTTCTAATGTGAGGTTGTCTGATAATTCTGGCTGTGTAATTCTGAACGTATATTTTGTATCTGTCTAACATCTGTTGGATATTAATGTGGTTGTTTTGTCAAAGATAAATAACTCAGTTTTTTTTGTAACTCATTACAGTGAATTACCAATTAATAATAATAATAATAATAATAATAAATAATAATAATAATAATAATAATTGGATTAAAGCACAACTTATTTCCTTACTGACACCCAATTATATTAACATAGAAAGTTACAGTTGAGTAGAAGCAATTGTGTGTTTGGCAGAGAAATTTACTCTGTTTTTCTCCATTATTCCCTAGTGGAAGCTACTATACCGCAGCCTTCTCCATAACTTGCCATATTCTTTGTTGTTGTCATTCTTTAGTCACAACAGAAGAGATACTATTCACGGAGAGTCATAGTGATTTTTCTTAATATTTTTTCTCTTTTGTGACAAATCCCTAATGTTTGCATCACACTACAATTACTGACCTTATCAATAAAATAACTAAGCTCTCCCCAGTGGGTTCTGAATGTGGAGTAGCCTGGAGGCTTGAGCAAGTGACCTAATGGAGAGTAAATTACTCACCCGCCTGAAACATCTGCGAATCTGAAGCATTGTATGCTTTACTACATGACACTCCACAAATATTCTCACAGTATTTGGATGAATGGATAAGATTAAAATTAGAAAGATATTGGTTGAAAGGTTCAGTTCATCTCTCAATAGCATAATGTGTAAAGGTTTTATTCAATCCAGGACGAGGCTATACAGAACATAAGGTTACAGGTTCAAATCACAGCCTGTGCGGAGGAATCTGATCTTATCCAAGGCAGGGAATTGGGCCTTACAGTTGATCTAAGTGCTTTTGAGACAGAGAGGGAAAAATCAGCCAGGTTCTTGCTCCTGGTCGCTGTTAAGAATTCCCTGCTAGAAGATGTAGATGTAAACAAGAGGTAAGACAGGAACAGTCTTGGCTGCGGTGCTGGTCAAATACCCTGTGAACACTCACTGCCAAGGCACACTCATAGTCCTTTGAGCAAGTTAGCAGAGGGCAAACCATGCCTCTATAGAAAGAAAATAGAATTAATTGTCCTGGGATAAGGAAGACAAAGAAAAATCGCTTTTTTAAAAGAAAGTAATGTTCAGTACAGAATATTTTGGTTAATAACTAATAAGTCAACCAAAACTAGTAACTGAATAAGCTTTTAAAACCTCACACACTTATTTACAGCACCTAAAGAAAGGAAACAGAAGGTTTGCAGCACAGAAAAAGACCTTTTGGTTCATCTTGGATTTCCTCATGCAAACTTCCCCACTGGAGCTGGTTACTCTATTGCCACTGCTTAATCTTTTGCCATTAATTTCCTTTTGATCATGGAGTTCCGTAGCTCAGTGGTTAGAGCACTTGCCTCGCAAGTGACACACCTGGGTTTGATTCCTGGCAGGGTGAAATGTTAGTCAATTGGCGGATCGCTTTCCGGGGATAATAATCCCTTTTTAAAAAAAATAATAATTTGGTCACTCAATCCATGATTGTTTGTGGGACACTGCTGTCCACAATTGGCTGCTGCGTTTCACCCACAAAATATGCAGTCAATTCACTTTACAATATATTCTGAGAAGCGCTTTGAGACATCCAGAAGACAAGAAAAGCGCTATATCAAATGTAAGGATTATTATTGTTGATGTAAGGGCTTGGCTTCAACAGCCATTTGTATTATTCTAACAACACTTTAAATTAAAGAATGCCTTGCTTCTAATGAATGTATTGCCTTTTTGTTATCATCTTACTGACCAGTAGAATGTAGTGGCCTAAGACAATTAGGTAACTAGACAAGAAGAACTACTAATTCTTAAAAAAAGGTACTAAAGATTAAGCAAATGCTTGATGGTGATTGGTAACAGTAAGAACCACACTTTTGCTGATGTGCTGTCATTTCTGCCTTAAAATACAATTTACATTTACATAGTGCCTTTCACATTGGGAAGACGTCCCAAGCCAACAATTCTGGCTCGGCAATGGAAATGAGGGGAGAGCTGAGGGGAGCGAGGAAGAGAAAGATGACTAAAGGCAGTCATTATAGATATGTTTTGAGAGGTAGCTTTATAATGTGATGGTCACAGCAGGATTTAAAAACTATTTGTAAATGTAGAACCCTGTAATGAATTGTAACAATCTTAATGACCAGTCCCAAAGCTTCTAAACTTGAATCATTCAAGGTTTCACCCACAAAAATCCAGAATTAAGAAATCTCCTTTAATTCTAATTTTGTTCATCTTTAGAAATGGACAGAGGTGATAGGACTAAAAACAACATAATGAGAATCTATATTCCAGCATTGAAGCAATCTTCATGCCATTTATAAAGATGAAATAAACTCCTGTGGTGAAGTCATTCCTTTCATTACATTATTCAAGCTGCTTTCTGCTTAATTACAGTGAACGTTTCTTGGCTGTTAGTTTTGTTTTATATACCAGGATACTTAGCGCTCAGTGATTCATGCTGTTTTTTTCATTCAGTAATTCTGAGTAAGTTAGATCATTGCAGAATAGGGTTGCCAACTTTAGTTGGACTTATTCCTGGAGAATTCATTATATGACATCACATATTGGATCACATGACAAGATGTACAGTTTGAGGCTACGGGAAGCGAGACGGAATGGGAGGTAAAGATGCCAAACATAAACCTAAAGGCTACTTGCCTCCGCTACTGCCTTTCGAGCTACTATGCCTTAAAGAATCCCCACCAGTAAAATCAACCATTTTGATTTTTATCTCCCAGGTCTCTCGCAGCAGTGCCCAGGAGATTAATATTTAATTCCTGGAGACTCCAGGACAGGAGGGTTGGCAAACCTTATCGCAGAATTACTTTTTTTGTGAAGTCTGAACCTGTGGCAACATTGTCATTTATTAACGAAGCTGATGTTGAAACAAACATGCTCAGACACTACATTTTATATCTTATGAAGTGCTTTGAGACGTGAAAGACATTATATCAAATGCAGTTATTATTATGAGGGGAATTACATAGACATAGTATTCTTTGTTACATTCTTAGGCATGGTCTTAGCAGGAACATTTACCAGTAGAACTTGTATATTCACTGAATCTCTGGCTTGATGAATGTTTTTTTTAAACAAATCTAAAAAAGTACATTATGGAAAAGTCTAAGTCTGGAGTCAAAAGTCATACAGCAGGAGAGAGAGTGAGATAAATAAAGAAGCAGTGCTTCACAGACTATGCAAACTCCTTGCTTGTCGATCTCCCCAACTCCTCCCTCCATAGGCTGCAAATCATCCAGAACTCTGCAACCCGTTCTCTCCCGCACCAGGCTCCGTGACCCTATCACCCCATTCTCACCTGACTTCACTGGCTTCCCATCACACAGAGGATACAGTTCAAGAGCCTGGTTCTCAGCTTCAAAGCCCTCCATGGCCTTGTTCGCCCCTACTTCTGCGAACTCCTAATCCCCTACCATCCTGCCCACTCCCTCTGCTCAGCGGGCTCAGGCTTGCTTCACATCCTCCGCCTTGCCTACCCAGGCGGGCCTTCTACCACTCTGCCCCCACCCTCTGCAACTCCATTCCGCAGTCCCTCCACCTCGCCCCCTCCCTTGCCTCCTTCAAAACCCATATCAATACGCTCCTCTTCGACCATGCTTTCGATTTCCCTGCTTCCCCTCTTGCCCCCCATCCTCCCCAATCCCGACCCCCAGCTCGGGTCGAAAAACTAACTGTCCAATGCCTTGGGATGTCCTCCCAAAGTGAAAGACGCTATAGAAATGTAATTTTGTTGTTGTTCAAATTTGGTTTTAAAAGCCTATAATAATAACAATAATCCTTGCATTTGATGTTGCGCTTTTCACGTCTTCCAGATGCCTCAAAGCGCTTCACAGAATAGACTGTAAAGTGAATTGAGTTGTATTTTGTGGGCGATCATAAGAGGGAAAATCTGGAGAAAGTAAGGGGTTCACATAGTCTTGAGGTCCTGGAAAAGAATGAATTACAAGTAAGAAATTAAGCAATAAGTCTTCATTTCAAGAAAGTGAGGATACAGGGATACAAGAAAACATATTGATATAAAGAGTAACAAAGTTGGAACCTTGAAAGGAGTGATGATGATACTGATATCAATAAAACAGATAAAGGCAGGGAAGGTGACCGAGAGAATGATGAAAACTGAGAAAAATAATGAAAAAGAATTGGAAGTGAAAGGAAATGAAATTTCCCTTTAAAATCTAGATTTCCTCTTCCCTGTTGGTGCAATAAAAGTTACTGGGTCTAGAATACAAATGACAACATGTCAGAAATCTAATATGGCCAGGTATGTGGGGCCCCGAAAGGTGGCAGGTCTAATGGTAACCATCCAGTATGATTCCTCGCTCTGTTATACAACCTCAATCTGATGGATTCCGAGTTGCTTGGCCTTTTATAAATTCAAAATTCCTAAATGAATATTTCCCTTTGAAGATTGACCTTCAAAAAAAATCAAGAACCATACAATGGCACGAACAGCACATTAGCACAAACACAGCTGCTGTGCTTGTAGTTTTTTTTAAGTTTAAAGTGCCTGGGTCAGTAGTTATACTTTACTGTACTTTGATGGAGTAGTGTATGTTAATTTCAGTTATAGTTTCAGGGTATAAGATTAACACTGACATATTAGACAAACTCTAGTAGATTGAGTAGAAGGAGTTTTAGGGCAGTGAAGAACGAGCGAATGTGCTTCGCTGCCACTTTATCCTTGCAACTCTGTGCTCTTTGCAACACTACTCCTGTGTGAAGAAACATTGTATTTTTTAATGAACAACCTTCCTGTTTTGCCTGCAAGGTAATTATCACAGTATTGGTGTCTATTATATCAAGAAAGCTTTATCTTACTGGTCTTGTATTCCTCTCTCTGTGTCCACTGGTTTCAAAACCTTATAGTTATTGGCACCCTCAGAATAATGGAGGGACACATTATTATCCAATTCTGAATCATCACATTGTCAGTGAAGACAATTATTTGATACACTGAGATTGTACATGATGAATTGGGTTTCCACCATTTTAGACTGTGGTAAGACTGAAAAACATTTTGTCATACTGTACATAATTACATTTGTAAAGCGCCTCTTGCGTTGGGAAGATGTCCCAAAGCACTGGACAGTCAGGGATATACAGTCATGTTGTGTATATAGTGCACATGGGTGTGTATAATAGAGAAACGGTAGGCAGAAATAAATTTGTAACAATGTGGCTCAGTTGATAGCAATCGTCTCTGAGTCAACAGGTTGATGCCAGGATTTTGAGCTTGGAATATAGGCTAACATTTTAATGCATTGATGGAGGTGTGACATTAAATCAAGGTTCCATCTTTGTGTTCATTAAAGGTCCCATGGCATTACTTGAAAAAATAATTTCTCCCCATATTAAATAAAGATATTCACATCATGGCTGTTTGTGAGACATTGTTGTGCTTAAGTTAGCTACCGCGTTTGCTCACGAACTCGGTCACTATACATTACAGAAAACTCAATAAATTATTTGAGACATTTTGCTGTAAATTGTGCAATATGAAATACAAGGATTATTGCATAATAACATAACTGGACTGCAGACTGGCCCGATGTTTCATATTTTTCACGTGGACAATTTTTCACGGATGCCACACATTAAGAGAGATGGCTCAATACAAAGTGGGCACAATAAAAAAAACTCCTTACCTGTGAGTGTGGTAAATGGCTGGGCTGAGTGTGCACATGCACCAGACTCGCAAGAACAATTCAGACCATTCTCTCAAGGCTACTGCATGCCCAGCCCCCTTTCGATGTTCACTGGTAAGGTTTTTTTTTGCTTTATAAATTATTACACTCTTGATATATTTTTGCATAAGTTGCAGTGGGCTCACTATTTCCGCAGCAATTATTACGCGTGGAAATATTTACGTATATATTTTACATGAAGATTGTTTTTTTAAGGCCTTTTAATCCCTGTAACGGAACAAGGTAATTCACCTGCATTTGTAAGAAGATGCTTGGCGTTTTTAATGGTTTTATACTAGCTATCGTGGCTATAATTCAAGGAACATTCAAGTTACATTTTTACCTAACTGCTTTGTAGTAGAGCCAACAGTAAACATTTAATAAAGCACCCTGTAAATGCAATTAATGCTCCCTAACTCTTAAATAAATAATGTTCTTAAGTCACCTTAGTCCAAAGCCATGTTAAATAAAATAATCAGACTTTGAACTTGGGTAGTCTGGCTGACACTCCAGTGTCTTGCTAGGGCTGTGGTGCATTGCTGAGGTGCCGTCCTTCCATCTGTGAGACGTTAGACTGAGGTTCTATTTCCCTGTTCAAGTGGAAGTTAATGATCCCAAGGCACTATTCAAAAAGACAGGGGAGTTTTTCTCAGTGTCTTGGCCAAAAATCCCTGTTGCATATTTTTATAGGTAAATGTGGCAGACAACATGAGTTCAGCAATATCTACAAACAGCTGTGAAGTGAATTTGAAGTGAATATGAAGTGAAAACCGATTTTTACCCAACATGAGGTTTGAACCTGCAACCCTCTGAGAAGGCAAGAGGCAAAAGTGCTAACTGAGCTAGGCTGAGCATGCAAATGTATCCGTAGCCAGGAAAGCATGTCAAATTAAAGCTGCACTTTATCTTTGTAATATTTGTTAAGTATCTGAAACAATGCTATCAAGAATTGATAGAGAAGAGATAGGAGCACTGCCTTTGACAAGTGGGTAATAAATGAATACTGTGTACTTGCAGGAAGCAGTTGAGAATAAAAGATCTGCTCTTAAGTGTTTAAAGTGTTGCCCTGATTGTTCTTTAACTATCCTTGTCAAATCAAAGAAACAGCAGTTTCATAGTTGTTATTTTCTTTATGGTAATCAGGAGTCAAGATTATACAGTAGTATATACTGCCGTCCATTGGATTGGACCTCTGATTTTAACAACCTGCTTTCCAATGTTTTTCCCTCCAGAATAAAGTAAGACACACTTTGATTAGCACACAGATCATGTGTTTCTTAAAGAAATGGGAACAACTTGTATATTCAATTCTGTCCATGGGGTGTCAAATGTTAAATAATTCAACCACAGCTTTTCATGCTTCTTGAAAAAACGTTAGAAATAAATATTATTGTATATAAAGCATCCATGTCCAAAGTAAAGTAAGTAATGACTGAAGGGATAAAGAAGTTCCAATTGAAGTATGTGAAATGAGTCATCTGTATTGATTTGAGTTGGATAAAATCGTACTTTCATGCTCTAGTGATCATCAGACATTTTATCTGATATACGGCCTACATCAGAGAGTCAAAAATAGGGGGAGGGGACAGTTGAGTGCTCAACTACTGTAGTGCCTACAAAGAGAACACAAACGTGAACAGCTACTGTAGTGATTGAGTTAATCAAAGCATTTGTATTGGTTGAATGAAAAGCTGTTAAGCTCGAGGATTTTAGAGTTTGAGAATTCTTGACAGAGCTCAGAAAAGATGATGATTACATTTGATTGAGCAAATAACCCCTGCTTTGCTAACGACAGCAGTTTCATAAAGTGAAGCACAGCTCTCTTTTTTCCTTGAATACTTTTTAAATAGATGGTAGTCCTTTTAGTTTATCCAAGTAAACTGAACGTAATGCATATAAAGAAACCAACAAAAAAAAGCT